GCATAATCAACCCGCATTGCGCTGAGAAATTGGACGGTTGGAGGACAAAATTTCGGACGGGTCCAATCCACAACACCACCCACCTGGCCCCAACACCCCCCCGGGCACGCTCGCCCCTAAGAACTGCGCGCCCGCGGCCAGCGCAGACGCACTTGACCCCTGCCCCCGACCGCTGGCAGCAGCCACCGGCCGGCGCCGCCTGCGACACGATGACCCCGGAGTAGTGAGTGGCCGCGCTTGCTCCTCGTACATGGCCCAGCAACGCGATCTCCCCACCTCGCCTTTGCTGACCCGCCGTGTCTCGCTCCTGCCCGCCCTCCTCCCAGCGACTACCTCTTCAAGGTGAGGCCTCCCAGCTTCCCTCCGCCCATCCCGGGCCTTCCCCTCCTGCCAACCGCGATTGGATTGTGGGCGCGGGTGTTTGTCCCGGTGGTGCGCAGTCGCCTGACCCGGTTGTGGCGTGGTGTCCGTTGCGCAGCTGCTCCTGATCGGCGACTCTGGAGTGGGGAAGTCGTGCCTCCTGCTGCGCTTCGCGGTGGGTGGCGCCACGGTCCCCTGTGGAGCCCGGGATCCTTCCTTGGTTGCTGCCTGTTGAGGCTTGCTGGGCATCCTCGCGGGTGGGCCCCGCCTGACTGGTCCCTGATGTGCAGCCTGACGCCTCTCCGGCTGTGCCGCGCAGGACGACACCTACACGGAGAGCTACATCAGCACCATCGGGGTCGACTTCGTGAGTGCTGCGCCTGACGGGCTTGAATCCAGCGGAGTGCCTCCTCTTGGGGCCGCTCTGGCCCAGCTGAGAGGGACGCTTGCTGACCGCCGCCCCTTTTCTTGCTCCCGCAGAAAATCAGGACGGTCGAGCTCGAGTCCAAAGTGATCAAGCTGCAGATCGTGAGTGTACCGAACCCCGGCAACCGCCCTCCTTCTGGGCCCGTTCGTCCCAGCTCCCTTGCGCCCGTCGGTCTCTGACGCTCGTTCTGTGGGTGCGCAGTGGGACACCGCGGGCCAGGAGCGCTTCCGCACGATCACCAGCAGCTACTACCGGGGCGCCCACGGCATCATTGTGAGTGCCACGTGCGGTTCGGGGGCGCGCGTGCTCCACGCGGCTCTGCTCTGCAAGAAAGACGTTCTGGTTGAAAGTCCTCGTTGAATGCAGTTGCCGGAACGTGACGCAGCGTTATCTTCCTCCTTTGGAAGATTGCGGGCGCACTTCACAAGTGCAGCCGTTTGCCTGTGTTGTGTTTTGGTTCTTTTTCCTGGTGTCTGGAACTTGGGGGGCAGGGGGGCCAACAGCACATTGATCATGTTGTTAAGCACGACGCAGGGAGTTGCAACCAAAAAACCGCCATGTCTCTGTCCCCTGTGCAGGCTCCAGCTGCAAGTTTGCATTGTTCATGCTCCCAACTTGGGCCTGCGAACCTAAGGTGGTATTCACAATGGATCCCAACTAGCTGGGCGTAGCAACCGCACTATGGGCCGGCCAAGGAGTGGGTGAGCAGCGCAGAACGCCACTACTGGTATCGAATGGGGTTTTTGAGAACAGCAACCCAAGGGGACGAGGTTGCAATGGGTGACACTGTGGGGGGTGGACCTGCAGGTGGTGTACGATGTGACCGACCAGGACAGCTTCAACAATGTGAAGACCTGGCTGAACGAAATTGACCGATACGCCAGTGAGAATGTAAACAAGCTGTTGGTGGGTAACAAGTCTGACCTCACCGCAAAGAAGGTTGTGGACTACCAAACAGCAAAGGTGGGCATCCTGCGTTGGTGGGGATTCTTGTGCCTGGTCATTGACTCACTGCAAGCCATTCTTTTCAGCGAGTTTGGGGACGCTTGCATCAGTGAAGCTATTTTGGTCATGTGACGTCCTTCCTGCCCACACGATTGGCGCTTGGATGCACAGTTTGTGCTGGCCACAGTAGCACCCTGATGTGCCTTTGTGCTGCATCCTGTGTGTTCAGCATTGGTGGCCTTTGTGCTCAATCCAGAGCAGGATGACCAAGCATGTGGCAAGTCCTCTGGACTGTACTGCTTTGCTTAACATCGTCAACAAGCCTCCAGTTCCTGCTGTGCTGCCTTTCATGCCACTACAGATCAAACAGCACTGCTCCATTTGCCAAGATGATGTTGCTAGGGTGTACTGCTGGAGATCTCTGGACAAGCTGCAGAGTGAAGAAAAACAGAGTCCTTTTGTCCGTTTTCTTTGTCCATCATGCGGCTAGTATTGGATATGGAGCAGTGAATGGGATATTGTTTTATGATGTGTTTATGATAGATATTGTTCATGGTATGCTGTTTGTGTGCTGCGACACGGCAACTATCTTTTATCTTGCTGTGCCCACAAAACCTGATGTTGTTGAATGGTTGCCTCACCAGGCTTTTGCAGACGAACTCGGCATTCCCTTCCTGGAAACAAGCGCAAAGAATGCATCTAATGTTGAACAAGCATTCATGACTATGGCTCAAGAGATCAAGAACCGGTGAGTTTGTGGCCAGATACTCCTAGAAGACTATGAATGGTTTTGGTTTTGGGATATAATGCAACATCAAAGACACCAAGGGTGCTCACAATACGGAAACCAGCCATTTGTCATCAAAAATTCCACTTGTCATGTCCTGTAGTGGTTGCATCCCATTCGTGTATGTCCATCCTGGATCCCTGGATTTTCGAGGCATGTTGTGTGTGGGGGGGCTGTGATGCACCAGGCATGGAAGAATGTGAATCTACAGGTACCAAGCATAGTGCCCCAGATTTGTTGCTGCAGTGGAGGCACCCTTTAGACAGAAGTACTTGTTTGTTCTGTGACTGCATATCATTGCATGCTCTGGCTCTGCAAAGGCAAATAAGTTGGGTATTCCAGGGCCGGAAGAGGTGATGGACGGAGACCATGGCAGGCAGTGAAGTGCTGAGAATGCCCCACTTGCAGATTGCACTGTGGTGAACGCATGTATACTTGACGCAACACGAAAATACAGCTCATTGCTCATTTCATGTGTCTCTACTGGGCTCAATTCGTCAGACGGCATCGGGACTCTAGCAGCCTGTACGTGGCCTCACAATGCTCATCAAAACCACCGCAGCCCCAGAGTGGGGACTGTGATAAGAACCACCTGTGCGGTTCTCTTCAGAATACACAATCACCTGCAGTCTCGGTGGTCAGTAAGGTTATGTAGCAATATTGCCTGAGACGAAATTCCAGAATTCTGTTTCTGATCAATCAATGGCTTGAAAATCCGTAAATCTTTGCCCCGGCCCCTCTGCCACACCCCCACCCCCACACACACGCACCCCCTTTGCCATGCCCTCCAACCCCACCCGTATTCGCCCTTATGGTATCATGGATAACGTGGCCTCTCATGAACATCAGCTCACCTATGCTGGGCTAAGAGTTCAGGATTGCCATTGCCCAGAGGTGGGGCTAGCAGTCAATACCAGAATGGGCTGTTCCATGAATATGCAAGTAATGCCTGATGTGTTACTGCGAAACAGTCTGTCAAGGGACAATCGCTTATAACGTTTGCGATTGAAGCTCAGGCGACCATGAACTCCTGGTTGTGCATTGGGCACACATGTGTACCTATCCACCCGCATTCTTTGCCACCTTACCCCACCAGCCTTCCCCCTGGCTATCAGTGTCCGTTTCCTTATTCTGTGAGCTCTTATGAACGCAGGATGGCAAGTCAGCCTGTGGTGAATCGTCCTGGCAACACAGTGAAGCCTGGAGAAGGCCGTCCAGTGAGCGCACCAAAAGGGGGCTGCTGCTCGTGATTGGGTACCAGGGAGTCTTTCAGGCTTATTTTGGGCGTGGCGGTGGACTGCAAGACACGGCGAAGCCGGGCGGGGGATGTGTCTGGGAACCCTCCACCATTGAATTCCCATCCACATGTACCTGACCACATCCACTCCGTTTCTGCCCAGCTGCCCAGCATTTGGACTTGGGAAGATTGCTAGTGGACGACGACACCGTGCTCTATCCCTTCTGCAAGGGGGGTTGGCGCGTTGGATGTCCAAAGGGCTTGGAGGTTGGCGACGTCCAGACCTTTGAAGAGCTCGAATTTCCAGACTTCTGTTTCCGCCTGTATTGCAAATTGAGTTGTAGGTTTAGATGGATGCGGTTCTCACTACTGGCTGAGATTGTAACAGGGTGTGGGATGTGTTGTACGGAGGGCGTCGGCATGCCTGGATGTGGAGGTGGGGTTGCATGTCATGTTGGGAGGGCTGTGGATAGCATGGCCCTCGATAGCAGTCCTGCTTTGATCTGGGCGCCACATGACGCGGTTGGCACTTTGGGATGCAGTTTAAGAAGCATCGGCTGCGCGTTGCACTGGAATGGACTGGCTATTGATTCAATGATTGAAGCATTAGTTGTGCCAATGGTCCAACCCTAAAGTCAACGCCTCTCATTGGTTGCATGTCAATTGTTCGATCATGTGGACAACAGCACGACAAAGACACTTGGTCGTTGCTGGACCAGGCCAGCCACCAGGCCAAGTAGTCACACCAACGAGCCTAAACTTGGATTGGCTTCCCAAACGTAAATTTTAAAATAGAACTAAAGAAATGCACAAGATAGTGGCAATTGCTACTCGTATGTACTGGGCGCCCAAAGAGAAAGGCAACAAATACTGAATTCTCAACGACAACACCAGAGTTGTTTTTCGTGTGGGATTCAAAATGAGTCATCTCCCTGAAGAAAGAGAACCGTTTGTCACCCAAAGCTCCCTGCTGAATTTCATCAAATTGGCGTGCATGTTCTGCCTACGATGCCTTAGGACAGCAGTGTCTGCTCAAGCACCCTTAAAATCCACAACGGGTCTCACAATCCACAATCCCCATCAAATCCTTTGATTACATTTGTAACATAAACATGGCAAAACACTGCCCTTGCACCTAGGAGGCGATGTTGGCAAAATCCCCCCATTTCCCCAGATTTCCTCTACAGAATCAAGCAAGTCACAAAATATGCGGCGATATTCACAAACGCAAACCCGAATGTCTTTTCATGCACAGAAGACTTCATGAT